ACAGAAGGGGGAGGCAAGGCTTCTCCTAAACTTTAATTTGCACACCAAAGCTGTTTGTCACTTAAGCATGCTTACCAACCTCATTTCTGGAGAGCAAGATCAATAACATTTCAGCTTTAGCCGACAACCCGGTACCCCATGTCTCTTGACTAATATTATCCACGCAGTGAGTGACCAGTGCCTCTCCTGTCCTCCCTACAAGCTTTCCCAGTCACGGCCCCCCGCCACCTCACCCGACTCCCTCCCAAAGATGGCAGAAGACCAGCTTTTCTTGGTTCCCTTTAACCCCAACGATGTGCAGCACTGGTAGGTCAAAAGGACCAAAGGCGCCTTCTCTAAACTACCAACTGGCACATCCGTTCATCCCCAAACTCCAACTTTGGAATGGTTTGAAGAGGGTACAAGAGAATGGAGGAAATAAAGCCATCTTAAAGCCTGGCCATTGTGACGGCCTCTCCGTCCTTTCACATACGGGACGTTCCGAGGTGTGACGCTCCCCCCGAGACACCATGTCTGTGGGAGTTGGTAGCCAGCCAGTGTGGGAATGAGAAGTGTTTCGAGACCAGCCTCAGTGTGGTTGTCCTGCAGTGACTTCGCACGGAGCCAAAGCATCGCCTTCCCTGACTCCGAACAGATGGCCCCGCTCTCAGCCACACTCGAAACTCCATCCTCCCCCTCCTTCCCTTAACATCCCTCCAGACCGCCACAACCAGATGAAACGCTCCCTCTGCTTGGCCTCCATTGCATTTCCTACTGCTCATGATATTTTAAATATTTAATTCACATTATATAAATGTGTGATCATTTAATGTCCCTATTAAATGGTAAAAAAGAAAGAAGTTTTTTTTTCTTTTCTTTTCCTTTTTTTTTTTTTTTTTTACCTCCACAGCACCTAGTGCTATGCCCTGATCTGATAGGAACACAAGTATTTGTTATACCGAACAGAGACAATACACTTGGCCTTCCACCATCATGGGTATGTTGCTAAGATTAATGTTTCTGTCTATCACTCTAAAATAGTTGAGGGCTGCCTGGGTGGCTCAGTCGGTTGAGCGGCTGCCTTTGGCTCAGGTTGAGATGGTGTAGGCTTGTAGACCCCTTGCAGGCCAGGGTCATTTGAGGACTGCACTGAGGTTAAGGTTGGCCAGGCAGGCCTAGGCCAGGAGGAGAAAATGTTCTCTTCCCCTTACCTCATGTTGCAAGGCCTAAATGCCTGGATCAGCAGGAAGTGGCTCCTGCCTAGCTTAAAGTGTATCTCTCTAAACAGAAGTGTTCTTTCTAAAGACCAAGAACATGTTGTCTCCAAAGGAAGGATGGCTAAGAGAATTCTTTATTCTGCAAGCATAAGCAGGATGTATTTTGTTCTTATTGCATTTCGTGTATATTTCACTTCACAGATGTTGGCTTGATACTTTAAGTATACATTGTTATGTTTATCTGATCTCTGCGAGTATATAGCTATGTGAGAAATAAACGGCAGTATGCAGTTGCAAGTGCTGCCTTTGCTCTGCATCCCCTGTGTCCTGGTGATTTCGTAGACCCTTACCCAGGGACCCCAACGCACTAGACGTTGACAATTGGCGCCCGAACAGGGACCCTGAAGGACGTACAGGAAGGGTGAGTAACTTAATTAAGTACAGGGTGATGGGACAAGAAACTTCTACTCCTTATGTTCGAATGCTGAAGCATTCTCTTGCTGTCTATGGCATTACTGTCGCTTCTAATGATATTGAGCTGTGTTTGAAGGTGGTTCGAGAATGGAATCCTTGGTTTCCAGAGGAGGGAACTTTAGATTTGGATAATTGGCGGCGAGTTCGACATAATGTCGAGAAGGCAATGAGACAGGGAGAAAAAATTCCCGTGCGGTTTTGGTCTATCTGGTCGATTATTTTTACAGTGCTTAAAGCAATGGAGGACGACCGCACGGTCGAAGACTTCCATAAGGAGATGGCTCCTTCTATACAAGACCTCCCTTTAGATACGGATGAGAAAGGGGCGGTAGAAAAAGATACCTTTAAGCTTACACCATCCCGTGAGCCTAGGGAGTGTGGTAATGAAGAACCAAAACCGAAAGTAAAGTCGGATCCCGAGGTGGAGCATGTGTGGAAGGTTTTTCAGCAGGTTATGGCTATGACGGAGGAGTCTAAGAAACCCTCTAGGAAGCCCTCTGCTCCACCTTTGCCATCTGTACCAGCTCTTTCTTCTAAAAATCCTTTCCTTTCTGCTGCTTTAGCTGAGCTTGATGCGCTAGAGGATAGCGATGATGAGGCTGGCGCAGGTAATTCTGTCTTTGCTTTTCCTGTTATCAGGCCTCCCCCAGTCCAGGGGGTGGCACAAGCACCATATTATGGCGGAATAGGTATAGAAGATATTGGTCGCTTGAAAAAGGCAGTGTCTTTATATGGACCTCAATCACATTATGTTAAGGAGCTAGTTAATGGTCTAGCTCGACATTCTAACAATTTTTCTCCTGAGGACTGGAGGGTCCTCTGTCGGGCTCTTTTAAAGGAGCCTGAATATCTGCAGTGACAGATGTGGTTTTCTGAACTTTGTATGTATGTACATGTGGTAATAGATACATATTCTCAATTTATATGGGCCACAGCACAAAGTGGCGAAACTGCACAACATGTTATCACCCATCTCTTAGAAACTTTTGCTGTGATGGGTTTACCATCTATTGTTAAAACAGATAATGGACCTGCATATAGCAGTAAAAAATTTCAAACTTTCTGTAAACAATATGGTATAATGCACAAAACAGGCATTGAGTATAATCCTCAAGGGCAAGCTATTGTAGAACGTGCACATAATACCTTAAAGTTACAAATTAAAAAATTAAAAAGGAGGAAAAAGGATCATATCTTAGCATTCACTCAATCAAATGCACGTTCCATTTTGCAACAAGCTCTGTTCACATTAAATTTCTTGAATCTTCCGCAGGGAGATATCCTTTCCCGAGCAGAAAAGCAGTTCATAGAGGGAGAGGTTGCTCCCCCTCCATTAAATGAACATATGGCTTAAACCGACTGCAGATGCAGAATGGCAACCGGGGCTATTGCTTTGTAGAGGGAAGGGTTATGCTTATGTCTCCACAGAGGATGGACGGACCTGTTCCTGGCTCCCCGCGCGATGGATCCGGTCGAGGGCCAATTCGAACGGCACCGTATCCCACCAGGCGACGGATGGGGAATCCAGACCAAGATGAACTTCCGTTACAGGCCATGGCACATCTGAATTTGGGAGGACGACGTCGCCGTCGGCAGATATTTGCTACTGCTTTGCCGACTTGGGGGCAAATTAAAAAGCTTAGTGGGGAAGGGCAAAAAATCCTGCAGCGAACGGGGAAGGCTTGTACGCCTGAAAATTTATTTTTGGCTATGTGTGCCTTGCTTACTGTATCAGATGCCGCTACGTTGGCCAATTTGCTTCTTAAGCAACTTGAGGGACTAGATTCAAAAGGTATTATTCAGAGTTTGGGGCATACTGCCGGAGGAATGGGATTTGTATTGTTGATTGTTATCTTGTGCTTTATGCTGTTGCATTTTTGCTATCTAAAGCCTTCCCAGAATTCTATGGCCATCCTTTGGAGGGCACTTTTATTAAAACAAAAGAAAAAAGAAGGAATTGAGATGGTGTAGGCTTGTAGACCCCTTGCAGGCCAGGGTCATTTGAGGACTGCACTGAGGTTAAGGTCGGCCAGGCAGGCCTAGGCCAGGAGGAGAAAATGTTCTCTTCCCCTTACCTCATGTTGCAAGGCCTAAATGCCTGGATCAGCAGGAAGTGGCTCTTGCCTAGCTTAAAGTGTATCTCTCTAAACAGAAGTGTTCTTTCTAAAGACCAAGAACATGTTGTCTCCAAAGGAAGGATGGCTAAGAGAATTCTTTATTCTGCAAGCATAAGCAGGATGTATTTTGTTCTTATTGCATTTCGTGTATATTTCACTTCACAGATGTTGGCTTGATACTTTAAGTATACATTGTTATGTTTATCTGATCTCTGCGAGTATATAGCTATGTGAAAAATAAACGGCAGTATGCAGTTGCAAGTGCTGCCTTTGCTCTGCATCCCCTGTGTCCTGGTGATTTCGTAGACCCTTACCCAGGGACCCCAACGCACTAGACGTTGACATCAGGTCATGATCCTGCGGTCCTGGGATCGAGCCCCACATCCGGCTCCCTGCTCAGCGGAGAGCCTGCTTCTCCCTCTCCCTCTGCCTGCCACTCTGCCTACTTGTGCTCTATCTTCCTGTCAAATGAATAAATAAAATCTTTAAAAATAAATAAATAAATAAAATATTTGAAAGCCTCAAAAAAGGATATTCTAATAGAACCCAGTGTAAAAATTATGAGTTAGGATTCAATTTGAGCTTTTATGCATTTTTTTTTCCTAAAGGAAGGATTATTTAGACCAAAAACCTAGCACTTAAGGACTTCCTTACATAGGCCACTAGATGTAGGCAGAAATACGTAATATGACAAGGCAATATTTAAATTATTAGTAACAATTAGCCATGGGAGAACAGAGTGATTTTCTTTCCCTGCCACTGAAATGTACATGCTGTCCTTCTAGAGGGTGATTATGTACCACGCCATTGAAATCCAACTGCCCCACCTCAAAAATTCAGTGTTTTATGATATGGAGGCTGCTCACCAGTATCTTAAATTTCTCCCTCTTTCTCATCCTAAGAACTTCCCTGTCATTTTCATCAGGCTTTTGTTCCAGGGACTCATCTGGCCCAGCTCTGCAGACAGGTGCAGCCAGCAAGCTCGCCAAACGGCAGGAGCCAGATCCTGGAAATTCGAGTTAGAGAATGACACACAAACCCATCATACCCAGGCTGACTGCGGTTATCAGAATCACTGAGTTGCCAAAATAGTTCGTTTTGCATTCATTATCCAGATTAACTAGTGATGTTGACGAACCTTGGTTTGCAATCCATTAGTTCGCTAGAAGATGCAAAGCCAAAATAGCAAATGATAAATGTCAGAGAGAGTTACCTGTTTTCCTCAAAAACAAAGAGCTATAGGCACTTCAGCAAGTGATTCCAGTGAGGGTGACAGAGAAATGAGTGGCAGAATCGTGCTTCTTCTGTCATCAGCTTCCGATGTCTTCGCCTCTCCCATCAGGGCATTCCATCCACCCTTCCTCGGCCCAAGACGGAGTGTGATGGTGCCTCCATGTCTGCCCAGAGATGACATGTGGTGTAGTTAAAAGCATACCAGATCTGCATTCAAATCCCTCTCCAGCACACTGACTCTATAAGGATATTGATACTTATTTTTTTTAGTTGAGTAATATATGAATACATGCTCATTTTAAGCAACCCAAACAACACAGAACAATATTAGGAAAAGAGTGAGTCCACCTTTATTCCCATCGATCTCATGCTCCTCTCCAGAGACATATTCCCAGTGGAACATTATTTTTCTTTAGAGAGGGAGGGGGGAGGGGCAGAGGGCGAGGGAGAGAGAATCTTAAGCAGGTTCCACACCCAGCGGGGAGCCCGATGCGGGCCTTGATCTCACAACCCTGAGATCATGACCTGAGCCAAAATCAAGACTCGGGTGCTTGACTGAATGAGCCACCCAGGCACCCCTCCCAGTGGAACTTTTGGTGCATGTCCATCCAGATCTTTTCCTGTATGTGTACATATACACATTTATATAACCATTATATATATAAGTAAAACCTATGATCTATTTATCTATCAAATCATTTTGTAAATACTCCTCAGTGGTTTCCTGTAATTCCCCAACAACATGCTTTAGAGTTCCCTGTTTGTGGGAACTGTATGTATTTCCAGTATTTATGTATTCCCTCAGTAAGTTATTTAACCTCTGGGCTTCAGTTCAGGGCTCTTCTTTGTAAGACGAGGATATTATACGACACCACTTTCACAGGCTTACAGAGTGTGTAAGAAAGAAGCCATACACAGAGCAGGGACTCACGGATTCCATCCCGGTGAGCACTACCTGAAATCCACATCCTTATTTGTTGTTTATGTATTTATTTTCTGTCTTCAACCCCACTGGCAAATATTAGCCTTGAAGGCGGGGTCTGTGTCTTTTTAGTGCTGTGTCACCAGGGCCTAGACCAGATTTGGTGTATAGTATGAGCACAATACATGCTTGCTAGCTGGCTAGCTAGCTAGCTTCTCAGCTGTACTCATCGGTACTGGTCCAGCCCCAAACTGCAGGCTGAGCAGCTGAGCAGGAATCCCCAGGTGATGGGGCTTTGCTAGCCTACTGACAGCATGTAGGTGGTCAGCCCAGGGTTGCCTGTCGGGAAAGAGTACATAGCCAAAGACAGAGGCAGATGGAGCAGGTCAGGCAAACATACTATGAGACACCAAAGAGATGGGGCATGAGCATGAAGGTGATGTCAGAGCATGGGGCTGAAAGGGGATGCCTAACAATGAGACTCCAGCTGAGCTGGCTGATTGTTTTCCACCCCATGGGTGGGAAAGGCCTAGGCCACAGATATAAGCAGGGTCAAAATTGGAAGCACTCTGCCAGGGAGCTCCCCCTCTCATCTTTAGGAGGTAGTACCTGGTTCAGGAGGTACCTGCTACCAGGTACCAGGTAGCAGGAGAGCTGCCTGTGGAGGGAGTCCAGAGTCCTGCATGTCAGAACTGAAAGGGGTGCTGGCAATATCTAGTTCTACTAAAATGACAGTTCCTGGGCCCCCCTCACAGAATTTCTGAAGTCTGATTCTGTAGGCCTAGGGATGTGGTCTGATCTCTTGGATATACAGGTGAAGAAAAGATCCAAGCGATGCGCACACACACTAGGAGTTGGCAAAGCCAGTGCATCTGACATAGTGAGGGAATCCAGGGGGGTTGCTCAGCAGGAGGCTCTAGGAGGCAGCAGGAAGCCAGGAATGCTGTGTCTCATTCACTCTCTCTGATGCAAGATGGCAGAGCACCCAACAGGGCAAAGGTTCTCCAAGTCTGGACCCCAGACAGGCAGCATCAGAACACCCTAGAATTTGTTAAAAAAGCAAAGCCTTAGACCCCACCCCGGATCTACTGAATCACAAGTTCTAAAAGTGGGATCCTGCAATCTGGCTTAACAGATCCTCCAGGTGATTCTCATGCACAATCAGTGTTTGAGAACCTTGCAACAGGGGATAATCAGGTAACCATTTGTATTGCCTCTTGGAAAAGTTCAACTTGCTTCTGGATATTGGTATACCTAGTGTTCTGGAAACTCACTGGCAACCGCCCTGCCAATATACTGTCAAGATCATACCCAGGAGAATTTGAGAAAAGTGGAGTCATTTCTATCCAGAGTAACTGATCAGTTTCAACAATGTCCAGAAATCCATTACCTACTGGGACTTGATGATAAAGTGTGTCAACTCCAGCTGAGCTGCCACCGATGGGAACTGCTGTGAAACACAACTGCCATCATCATCATGGCTACAGCCACCACCATCACCGTCATGGCCACAGCCACCACCATCACCATCATCCCCACAGCCACCACCATCATCATCATGGCCACAGCCACCACCATCACCATCATCCCCACAGCCACCACCATCACCATCATCCCCACAGCCACCACCATCATCATCATGGCCACAGCCACCACCATCACCATCATCCCCACAGCCACCACCATCATCATCATGGCCACAGCCACCACCATCACCATCATCCCCACAGCCACCACCATCACCATCATCCCCACAGCCACCACCATCACCATCATGGCCACAGCCACCACCATCACCATCATCCCCACAGCCACCACCATCATCATTATGGCCAACACTTACATATTGTTCACTATATATTTGGCACTATTACTAGAACTTTGTAAATAGTTATCTACTTAATCTTCACAAACACAAATCGTACAGTTGGTACTATATTTATATTCTCCCATTTTATAGACCAGAAAACTGAGGCAAAGAGAGATGAAGTGACCTGCCAATAATCCCACTGATCATAAGGGTCAGAGCAAGGTTTTAAACCTAAGTATGTGGCCTCCTGAACCTCCCCTCCTTAACTCTGTGCAAGACAGGCAGCTTAGGTGGCCAAGAGCACTCATCTGGAGACAGGTCACCTGGATTTGCATCTGGTGCTGCCACTTACTAGTAGCAATTGCCTATTAACTGGTCTCCTGGCTTCTAGTCTCACCCTCTCCTAGAAATCCATTCTAAAATAATTATCTTTCATATGCAAATATATTTCCATCACTATCCTCTTTAAAATTCTTCCATTTTTTTTCTCTTCCTATAAGATAAAATCTAAGCATACTATGTCACTCACAAAGAAGTTTCCATGTGCTCATCCTGCTTCATCTTCTACAGTTCTTCCCTCGTGCACTGAGCCATGGCCATGCCAAACAGCTTACTGCTGCTCCCTGATTAAGCCAGCCTGTATTTCCTTGACTGGAATTTCCTACCATCCAACCCTTCCCTCACTTGGAAAATTCCTACTTCCTTTCAGTTTTGGGTAACTACTGCTTTCTTTGGGGAAGTCTTCCCTGGGTAACCCCTGTACAAGCCTAAGGCATCCTTTTCTTTCTGCTTCCATTGGCAAAATCTCCATTAGCCTGGCCCTTGGAACTGCCTGCCTGTCTCTCCTGGGGCCTGTGAATTTGGGGGAGCAGAAACTGTCATTTTATCTCTGCCATAGCCCCAGTGCATATCATAGATGCAAATAAATATTGGTTAAATAAGTGGATGGAATAAATGGGGGACAGGTGAGCCCTTCACTCCAGGGAAGGCAAGAGACAAGGTTCAAAATTACTACAGACAGAACTGAAGTAACAACAAAGTCACAATACTTGGAATGAGATAATGCTCCAGGAATCCAACATATAAACAATGCAGCACCCTAAGCACACAGCTGAACTTGATATGCATCATTTCCTGACATGACATCATTGAGATATCTTCAACTGGGCATCCAGTCCTGGAGTCATTTACTGAAAAATGTCTTTACCTATCCAAAGATTTCTTGGCACTCTCCATGACACAGATTTCTGAAAGTCCCAAGAGGATTCTCTCCTCGTGGCTCTTGAAACGGGTTCTCTTAGTGGAGACTTAGCTCGCAGCTGCATGGCTGTGAAGAACCCCCGCTGAGGATGGCCACCCAGAAAGGCCACATGAGGGCAATGGATGGTGTCAAAGAAAAAATCTGAAACTGTCCGAAGACATGAAAATCTGGAGTTAAGACTTTAACCCTCAAACATCATGTCTTAACAAACCAAAAGAAGACTTTCTCTTTAACCTAAATTTTCCTTTTGTGAACAATAAAATGACATTACCCAAAATATATCTGAAGTTTCATTATAGTGGTTTGCATAGTTTAATGGTGCATCTAACAGTGCTTTGTTCAATCGGCTTATCACTGATTTTTATATATTAATATGCCACTAGTATTGATATATTCTAAAAGAATTTGTCATAATCTATATGATGTCATAACACATATAAAATATATATACATGTACAATATATGTAAATATATAAACATGTATGTGTGTATGTATATATACATATATCAGGAATGAGTAAAATGGCCCTTACACTGGAAAAACAAACCCTCATGGCATACTCCTTTAATAAAAACCTTCCAATATGAAAAAGCTCCCCAGTCTTTGAAAAGTAACAGCCAGTTCAAAGCTGTTTCTGGGGTAAAATTCCCCAGATTTTAGTTTTCAATCATTGTTTAAAGAGTGCCAGATGATAATGGAGAAAAGCACTCCCAAAGGAATGATCTAGGACCTTTGGGCACATTGCTGGAAAGTCTAAAAGAAGCTAAGTATTGAAATGTAGCACAACCATAATTCTAAATATAAGGTAAAACTCCGTATCCTTACAGTTTGAAAGCAGCCATGGTATCGAAAAACACATTGCACTCCAGCTCTCGATGGTCCTTTTCAGGACACATGGCTCCAGTCCTTCATGGGCTTGCACTTTGTTTGGTGAGATATACGTACACACACACACACACACACACACACTTAGATTTAGAAGGCAGCTTATCCTACATATAATAGAATTGGTACAAACCAAAAAATCCTTCAAGAATCCAGAGTAGGAAGAGATCAAATACTGATGCAGAAGATTCTGTGGAAGAAGTATAAAAGAAGTACAGTGTGGAAAAGAGAGGGACATGACAGGAAAATCTGTGGAGGGCAAAGATACAGCAGGGACAACCCCAT